ATGATTGGATCTACGGCTGTGAAAAGCCATCCTGTGTAGCTCGCAGGGTCGTGGAGGCACGCAAGCCATCACACCGTGTCAAGGTGCAGTCTCGTCGTGATTTGAAGACCATGGGATAGAAATATTCTTACACCACTGGATGAATACGCCTCTAGGTGAGTCAACTAACGAAGATAAAAAACGGGTAATGAGAAGGCTGACCGTTCATATCTAATGTTTCCAGAGTAGAGACATCCGAATCAACCATTTCCCAAACTGATATTTGATTAACTGCGCGATACGATCTAGACTAGAATGAACATTCTTCGCTATCTCAATTAGTGTGTAAGGCAATAGAAACACATTTCGTGGGACTTGAAGGTAGACGTGCCTAGTTGGTTTGTGAAAAACCACTACGCGAGGGAACCAAACTGAACTTGGATTGTTGCAGTGTAAAAATCCCGGCCAACACAATATTCATTAATCCCACTTGATTGGGTGGAAAAAGCTTAGAGTGGTCAAAATAAGATCTGGAACAAGGGTACTAAAACCCCGACCAGGAGACTCCGTCATAAGGGTCGCGTTGTACTCCCTGGGTGAGGACCTCAGGATAGTTGTAGTCAATGGTTAGAGACACTGAGCGATATAGCTGACTGTCGTACACAGTGGCGTTTATGCATACTCTCGATTTCTTTGCAACCCTGGTCCACTGAAATTTTCCACTTTCTCTCCGACTGTATTTTCAGCTTTCCTATCTTTCCTCTAATGCTTTATACAAATGGGCAGCAACCAAAGCCGGCGCACGAAAGTGCACAGTTGGTTGTACAAAATGAGCACTTGGTTGGTTGCCTGGTTGCAATGCGCATAAACGGATCAAAGTGCAAAATCTGGGCACAGATATAAGGAGAACGATCTACGCTAAACTTTATCAATTCCCTTTCATTTTCCGGACCACAGAAAGCCCCTATCTTCTTCCCCAGTACACATCATCACACGGGAACGGTCGGTTTAATTCGCTTGTTACATAACAAATCGTTGTTACTGATTTCAATGTTGACGGTCATCCTAATTATTCTACAATCAAAAGCCTGAGTATCATCGGGGGTGGGCATCGTGTGGCGACCGGTCACCTATCTCTTGCACCTGGTGAAATGCTCCTATACAACGAAGCATACCAAATAGCTTCTGTTGATGGAACCCTAATCACCGCCTGCCCATGGCGGTGATTTTTCATCGAAGTAAGAGGAGGAAAAGCCAACGTTTGAAACTATGATCGAGAGACTTGGCCAAAACACCTGACTCCGAACTAACTAAGAAGCAAACGAACCACACCCAACACTTTCCCCCGGTATTATAATTCCAAAATACTAGTACCGGATCGAGGAGAGTTATTTATCTAAAAAAACCATCATGGGATAGGTGTAGATAAGATTACATAGAACGAAACATCTAATTTGTAACAGTTCGACAGCACCTAATGGATGTCTTTTCGTCGGTGATCTCCAAACCTGTCTCTATTGTGGTTACTATAGAAAAATCCTTGGAGATACCGTGAAAATTCAACAATCGCCTTACCACTCACAAATGTCAGTAGTACCTCACAATATGCACCTGGTCACCAGTTTGATTGATCATTGATGTGTACTGAGCACCTTGGACGTTTTACCCCGCCCAAAGGGTTTATAATCTGCTGAACTGGATCCTGAACCCCAATGGTTTGTAGGTCGTACCGACCCGTTTTCTATCGGGTGAGGCTTTAGCCAAATGAAGGCTCCGGTTGTGACTTCCTATGGAACTTGACTTGCTGTTGGTTAGACAACAATACTATTACTCTTATTTAGTAGATAAATAATTTTCGTGAAGAGCAAAACCGTCTTTTCAAACAGCTGTCATAGGGTACTGTGCAGCATCGATGCATTACAAAACCGTTTAGACAAAAGGAGAAGCGACATTTAAACGATTTCTAACCAGCAACCTTTGGAGCAAGGGCAACGGAAGTTCGGTCTCACAAAATCAATTCGAGGATATAATGCTTGTGTCAAATACAGCTTACGCCAAAGCGCTCTATACACGCTCCTTTTCTTGGGACGGATATAGCCAGTGACCTAATCCCATAGCTTGTTTACCAACAATCGAGGTTTGATACTTCACTTCCGCATTGAACCTTCCCTCATCCAACAGAAGTAAAGTGGACAAGGAGTGTGTAGAAATCGACACAATAGAGATCTTAGTGACGAAAAGAAGCATATAGAGAAGATTGAGAATGGAAAGCCTTCCAAATACTATGAGCAAAATACAGAGGTGACAAAGCAATACGCTGAAAATTCGAAATGTCTGCTGTTGATCGCAAGCAATTAACATTCTAATTTAAACGAAGCCCGGGACAAATAACATAATAATCACTTACCCAAGTCGGACAGTTTGTTGAAAATTGAACGAGAAACCCGCTTTTCTGCGATTACGCGTAGCTGCTTTTCAATCCGTCGCTCTAGTTCATTGATTTCCGCGGAAATGCGAGAAAAAGCCTCATCATCCATTTCCTATCACGAAAACACGAGATCGCGGTTTTCACAGAATCGAAATTAGGCAGACTCACAACAGATCGATAGCTACTTTCAATAGTGATCAAAAAGCGAAAATTCATCAGAAATGGCACACGCTATGCAGACTAGCAAGTGTGGCATTCTGGTCGGGAAAGTGTGGACTACGTGATTAAAGACGAGTCTTTGAGAGTGGAAAGATGACAATCATATACACACACACCAACACATCTGTACCTATATACTTATCTCCTTATTGGCGTTGCCCTAGTAGATAGTCAAACCTATTATTCTTAGTCAGAATAGCTCATTTACCTTGATATTTTCATCAGATTTTTTACTCGCACTGAACGCCGGCGGATCTTGTTCCTCCTCATAGTCGACCGAAAAGAAATCGTCAATGCTGAGCTTTGAAGTCGGGGTTCGTCCAAACTCCTGAAGCCGTTTTCGGGTGGTCTGTTGACTAACACGCGCTGTGCATTCAAGGATCGAAAAGAAAGAATTCCATAAGAAGTGAACAAAACTTCACGCAGATGGGGCTCAAACTAATGATTCACAAAAGAAAGTGACAACAAAAATGTCCTTTTCCGGGACTCGAGCCCTTGTGCAGCAGTGCTTTCAAGCAGAACACGGTAGAAACGGGTATGCATTGAAAACTGAGAATGAAAAGCTGCTATTCGAGCCTGTAGTTGCTGAACTGAGCTGCAAAATTCAATTGTACCACGTCCAGAAAAGCAATCTACTCACGGCTGGTCACCCTTCCCTTGCACCTCGCGAAATACTCCCAAACGAATAGCCTCTACTGAAGAAGCCTTACTCACTGCCTTCTCGTGGCGGAGGTGTTGCCCACCAAAGTGAGAGAACGAAAAGCCGACATCCGGGGCTATAACCGGGTTGGTGGACCACTGGTAGTTCACCTAGGGGAGTTGGCCAAAAATCCTGATTCCAAAGCAACCAACACAACTTCTTGGTTGTGACAGTGGTCACCGGCTCGATTGGGCATTGAGGTGTTTTGGGCATATTCGACGTCTGACCCCGTCAAAAGGGCGTATGATCCAATGAACTGTACACTGGCCCCCAATGGATTGCAGTTTTCACACACCGCCCAGCTGCCTTGCGGGTAAGGCCTTGGCTAACCGAAGGCTCCGGTTGTGTATTCCTCAAGAAAATTCACCTACCTTGGCCTGGGCAACCTGGCACATGCAAGTCACGGAACAATTTTCTTTTTACAAAGTTTATTGTACCGCGATTTGTTTGGCACACAGTCTGGATTCAGACGTGTGTGAAAATAATATAACCTACTCACGAAAGACAATAGCTCACTAAAAAATTGGGTAGGTGATATGAAACTGAATCTCCAGTCTCAATAACAGCAAAGTGTGAATGAAGTTATGGATTAAAAGTGGGCAGCTAGATTCAATAACCGTCAATGAGAAATGCAACGATTCTTCCTTTCTCAACCAGCCACTATAACTGGCAATACTGACTAGGTGCGATGCTTGCTTTTAAGCCAATCCTCCAACGAGGGTGAAAAAATGAATGCGAACAACCGAAACAGGTTCAGCGAGTGGGAGTAACTGAGTTGGACAAGAACAAAGTAGTAGGATTCATGCCCAATCTAGACTCACTCACCAGTTGGTGATAAAAGTGCTTGCTATAGCGAAAACGCCATCCCAGTCAGGATTCGTCTCGGCATCATCATCCTCATAAAGCGGAATACAGTGAAGCAAACTGCATTGATCGCTACCAAACTCATAAAGCATACAAGGTAAGATAGGATATGTAAGGATGATAGGGATTGGGCCCATTTTTAGGGACGAAAGAAAGCGAATCTCTATGGTCAACATATGGAGTACACAATTCAACCGTCGATACCACCGCGACCTGGTCGGAATCATCCTTATCGTTTGCGGATATTTGTCTCATTGAATGGAGTCAGACGTAGAAATACAACGGAAGCTAACACATTGGTGGTGAGTAGGATCAAACTTATCCCGCGGTGGTTTGTACAGTCGTTGCGAGATCCCTTCTTGAAAATCAGAACGATTAGTGATTCGCACCAAGATACTGGAATGCGCTCGTGTGACCATATGTTAGGCATTAAATCAGTAATGACGTCTACAAGGTCCCCTATCTTGAAAAAAGTGGGAGGAAGTGCGTCCGGTTCTGCTGCGTTTCCTTTCTTCTGCGCATAGATGCAGGATCGTACTCTCGCTTCAGGTCTACGTCGCACTGCACAAGTCTGGTGGGGAAAGTGGACAAACAATGCTGAGGTTAGACAGAGTTTCAGGTAGTCGCGGTCGTCCACTGGAACCAGTGGTCGGTGTCCATAGACTACAGTGTTTGGGATACGTATTGCGCATGTCAGCAAACAGGTTGCCACGATGCGCGATGTTTGCCGAGATAGGCAGCGGATGGAAAAAGGTCAATGGCGGTCAAACTAAGACCTGGCATGAGGATATGAAAACCCTAACCAGGAGACTGAGTCAAATAGGTACCATTAGGTTCCCCGGATGGGAAGCCGAGATCATGGTAACCCGGTGGTTAGAGACACGGAGTGATACGGCTGTGTCGAAAACAGTAGCGCTTGTGTATCTACTCATTATTCTTGCAACCCCAGTCTATATGAATTCCCCATTCTCTCTTTGACTCTACTTTTAACTTTCCTGTCTTTCTCCTACTGATTCATCCAAATGAGCAGTAAAAAGACAACAACCAAAGCCAGTGCATGGTTGATGTTTGTACAAACTCAAATGAGCCGAACTTCTGCTTCAGTGGGAGGTTCACATAACATTCCCCAAGGAGCTTCCACTACAACAGACGACATAGTCTGGTTAGCGCCGCGCCAGCTCAACAGTTCGTGGAAGTTTTGCGGCCACCGGTCAAGCCGTTGTTCGCTATTGTGAATAGTGTCCGCTTTGTCGCAGATTGTTTCACTAACTGTGGTTCTCCAACCTCCCGTGTTGTGAATCAGTTGAAACAGGCTTTGACTATTCCCTGAGGTAGCTGCAACTTCCATTTCGCTAGCTATCGCTGCCCATCAGTTATCACGGTCTTTTTTGAGGCTCCATGTGAGCTGACATTGCAGATGCCACCTACCCCTACTTTGACCCCGGGAAGTCGGGGGTTGCCGCTTTTTAGCCGTCAGTGCTACTGACTCATCAGAAATTTAATGCCTCGAACACACTGCCGGTTCAGATCGACAAGAAATCCTCGCTGAAGAGCATCTTGTTCGTTTAATCTGATCCCATTGTTCATGTATGTTGGGCTCTTGTCCGAGTTCAGTCGGTTAGTGAGTCGGAGAGTGAACTGCATCAAAATTATTGTATGATCAGATTCAACGCAGATGGTTCAATAGGATTTGCAATTTTGTATTGAGTCACGTCAATGGTAGTTTAATGCCATATGATCCATTTGAGTCGGCATACCAATTGAATTGTGCGCCTAGTTGCTGTCCGTTGAGAGCTGTCAGAAGTTGGTACCGTATAGGAACAGATGGTGATCTGAGCAGAACTGAAGAACTCGATCGCCGTTGTGTTAGTCGGCAAGGCAGAGCACAATTACCACCTGGGCAAGCTTATGATGCATTCAGTTAAAATCACCTATAAGCACGACCAAACGAATGAGTTCGGGGAGCTTGTCATAGATATCGTCTTTTGTGCGTCAGAATTGCAGCTGATCGGTGCATACGCTGAAATGATGAACAAACGGATGTTGGTGTTGCTTCCATTTCGGACGCTGAGTGACAACTGGAGAAGCACCGCACATAAGCGACTGCTGACTGGGATCCAATCGATTGGTGAAGCTTCGACTTTGTTATTTAGCGCAATGCCTACTACACGCTGACGTACTGAACGGGGCGACTGAGACCGTAACTCCAGTCCAACCCCAATCTAGAGGACCAGGATACCGAACTTTATCTGACTTATATCCTCTGACCCAGCAGGCATGATAAAATCTGGCTTGATTAAAGTCATCCTCTGTAGAGGTGTATAAGCCGTCACACCACGTCAAGGTGCAGTCACCTTAACCACAACCGGTTGGTTGGAGATATTGGAGGATATGGCAGCGAACCGACAACAGTGGCGTCCTTGCTGTCGTTCCTCATCAAGTCAGAATGCTTGAAATGGTATGTATGCAGAGTTTGACTGCGTACTCTGTGTTGACTATCGACGTTCACGTTCTCCCCCTTCCCTCAAAGTAGGTCCAATCCCTGTCCACCTTAAATTTTACCAATAACCTTGTATGAATTGCGAGTTTGGCAGCGATCGGTGAAGTTCGCTTCACTGTATTTCGCTGTACGACGAGATGCAGTCCTTTCGTTACAGTCGTCTAGGCATCTAAATTAAAAACTAACAAAGTCAGTTAATAAGTTGAAAAATCCTGGTTAATTGACAAATGTTGCGACCGAAACAGTGACCAACAAGCTACAGAGTAATTTGAAAATCAGTCTGGCAGACGGAAGATATACCTAGCCTCATAACTCCGTGCAGTTCGCCATGCCCCGTCTCCACGTCCGTTGTTGACCTTCGCGTGATTTCATCCTATCTGGAGCGGAAACTATAAAACACGGTACATTATGGCAGACGACCGTTAGACATGCATTGTACGTGTATTAACTACTAAAGCTCAACCTCGTGAATTGGCTGGGCCAACAAACGTCTAGTCTTAACATTCCTCGGTGTTGTTGGCCCGCTAGCCCTATCCAACCATCCCCGGATGATACGAACTTCGTTAATTGAGAGGATCCAGCCGACCAACTTCTTCCATACGCACTCCCGGCATCTCATGACAGTAAGCCATTAGAAACCGTACTGAAACACTTTAAGTGACCTTTTGCAGCGCGAAAGATTGTTCAGTCCAGTGCGAGCCATCCGAGTGTTGGATATGCACGTTATCACCTTTTTCACTGTGCTACAATCAGTCGTTATGAAACGGTGTATGTATGAAAAACAATCAGCCATGGTCAGTACCAGATTATTCAAGTTAAAATCTGAATATATACTCCCTCCGCGGAAGCTATGACGCGCAGAAGAAAAAACTGAAATAATATTTGAACATCGACGTCAAAGCGTTATTAAGCGAACACACTATTTTCTGTGACCAAGTGCATGTGCTCGTTAAAAGTCTATCGGTCTGGACAGACCACCGTTGCGCTTATTTCCAAGCCATTTGAAATGACGGTTAAACGATATAAGGTGTTTACCTAAATCTACTACCGACTGCGACCGAGGGCAACAATCTTGCGTGCACCCTTCCGCATACTCGTGCACGTTTCTTGGGGCAGAATTCAAAAGCAGGGAGAAGGGAACCAATACACTGTCCCGCTCAAAACCCATTCATTTGACATACCTACTCGTGCCACATCCTCCTCGGTCCGGTTGAACTCGTGAATCCGGGCCGCAACGAGTAACGCGGCCGCGGCCAACCCACTCGGTCGTCGACCGGTAGCAATCCAATCTTTTTTCATGCGTTGTAACAGCCGCATCGCGGTGGTGGCTACCACAGACATTTTGTCACCAAACTCTAACTGAGTGGCAAATCGTTCGATAAAAAGGCAAGGGTCTGGAATAAAAAGAGATAGAATGCGCAATAGGTACTATTCAGAGTTAACGGGAATGATTCGGAGGAGAAAATATGAACAAAGAATTCCATGATCTAGATACGGTGGTTGTGGTGTCACAGAATATCACTGTGAGCATACTGTAGTACAGCCTCCAGTTTACATGATCTTTAGATATCAAATAGAAAAAGGAGTGACGAACAAGTTCGTTTTCAGTGATTCGTAGTCATGCCAAACACATCACAATAAATATTGCGCTGTTTATATATAAATCAGTATTCAACCATAAAAACGCAAACAAATGTTTTGGGAAAGGGAAAATCACCTCATGGGTTATCTGGGGCTAATTTCATTTTGGGACCGGATATGGAATTCTCAATGATCACATAATTGTTAGGTCATCCGATCGTGGGGACCACTCAGAATATGGGTGTGTGGACCAGGAGAGCTTAAGCGCCTGCACAAATTGTTTTTGGGCACACAGAGGGGGTGGTACAGCCGAATTCCTACCGCTTCCGCTGTGGATAGCATACGACAGCGAACCTGCTTTGATAATCGACCACGAACTCGATACAGGGAACGGAATACCTCGGTCACATTCACAATGTGATTTGTTTCAACTAGGTGTGAAACCATTGCACCAGTGAGTGACTTAATCGATCCTGTGTTTAGCCATGGTCACGGATTCGTTCGGACAAACGCCTGACCGTGCGGCCTATGTACGTTGTTCCACAGGAACACGTAAATGGATACACACGAAAAGAGATGGCATTTTGTCCTTTAGTCGTAAACACGCAATGAAGTGAACAAAACATTGAGCTTTGCTGCATAGAAGGTATTACTAACAGCATCGGATAGTCTCCTTTGTATTATTTCTGCCGATG